GACCTTTGAACCCGAGGACAGAGTCTTGTTGCTGTTACCGGCCAGAGAATCCAAGTTAATGGCGAAGCGGCAAGGGCCCTTCGAGGTACGGCGATGCATAGGGGACGTAGATTACGAGGTCCAACTGTCAGGGAAATGCAAAGATACCCAAATTTATCATGTTAAGTTGTTGAAAAATTGGAAGCCTCAAGAAAACATGCTGACTGAACCCCAACCACCCGAATTTGAGTTGGGATCTTGGAGCGGCGACCAGAGGGAAGGAGGCGGAACCGTACAGATCAGGGAGGAGCTGACGCCGCAGCAACGGACGGAGGTCCAACAGCTAATTTGACAGTTTACCCAGGTGCTATCTGTACACCCAGGATGGACAACTCTCATGAATCATCACACTGAAGTGGAATCCGGTAAGAAAGTCCATGACGTGATACACCTGCTCCCACGGAAACTGCGGGACACTGTGCGGGAAGAACTAAACACTATGTTACAGCGGGGAGTGATAGAGGAGTCACTCAATGACTGGCGTAGCCCCATAGTGCTTGTGCCCAAGCCCAATGGGTGGTCCGTTTCTGTACTGACTTTAGGAAGATAAATTCGGTGTCACGCTTCGATGCTTAGCCGATGCCAAGAGTGAACGAAGTACTAGAACGTTTAGGCCAAGCACAGTGTATTTTCACCCTGGACCTCACGAAGGGCTACTGGCAAATCCCCCTAGCCCCTTTGTCATAAAAGAAAACCACTTTCTCTACAACCTTTGAGTTATATCCATTTGTGACGACGCCCTTCGGCCTGCATGAGGCCGTGGCCACATTCCAGAGATTAATGAATAACATACTGTACGACCAATGGCAGTAAACCGTGGCATACATAGACAATATAATCGTACATAGCAATACCTGGCCCGCACATATCTTACATCTAAAAGCCATGCTAATAGCATTAAAAGAGGCAGGCCTCACCGCGAATTCCAGCAAATGCCATATCAGTCAAAGGAAGTTTCCTTCTTGGGATACCCAATGGGGCGGGGGATGCTGAAGCCCCTAGTGAGTAAAATAAGCGCTATCCAAGAATGTCCCCAACCGAGCGCTAATAGACAAGTCCGTCAGTTTCTAGGACTGGCCAGCTATTATAGGCGCTTCGTACCCTATTTTGCAACGATAGCAGCCCCCTTAACAGAACTCATGAAGAACAGCCAGCCAAAAAAGGTACTGTGGACAGAGCATAGTGAGAGGGCTTTTCAAGCGTTAAAGGCGCGCCTAACACAAGCGCCGGTATTGATGCAGCCCGACTTCGAAAAACTGTTTGTGCTGCAGACTAACGTCTTGGAGGTAGGGTTGGGGGCCGTCCTGTCCCAAGAGGTAGATAGGGCTGAACACCCCATCCTATACGTGAGCCGCAAACTATTTACACAGGAGCGAAACTATTCAACAATAGAAAAGGAGGCGCTAGCCGTAAAATGGGCCATCAATTTATTACACTACTATCTTTTAGGAACCCGGTTCCGGTTGGTAACAGACCATGCCTCCCTCCAATGGCTGAAGCCTATGAAGGATATGAACCCGAGGGTTATGCGATGGTACCTATCGTTGCAGCCATACTGTTTCGATGTGAGTCACCGTCCAGGTAACACCCATCAAAATGCAGACTCTCTTTCATGGATTCCAGAAGGGGAGGACGAAACAAAGGGGAATGTACAGGTGAACTCAAAGGGGGAGGTGTGTGACGGAGCCACTGGGCTCCACACTACCACAGAGGCTGCCACGCCAGGGAAGATAGGGGTGGTGTAGGGGCACCCAGGGAACAGTACAAGCACCACTGGGCAGGGAGGCCACACCCCTGTGGAGGGTGTCCTCCCAGGGAGGTAAGCACGGTGGCAACTAGGGAATGGCACAGGCGCCGTCAAGCTGAGGAGCTGTGGTGAACCCCACGTCACACTGGGGATGTGAGGGCGCACGGTGCGCTGGGTAGCAAACGCGGCGCTGTGGTGCCATCTTTAAAAAGGGCCCACTGCAGCTGAGTGGGGAGACGGGAGGCCAGAGAGATGAGAGGGAGCGAGGAGGCTCCGGGGTGATTGTGGTTGGTGGGCTGGACATTGGGGCAGTCAGGATGTGATGGGCTGGAGTTCTGGGGTTCGGTCGTGGGGTGGAAGCAGGAAGAGGGAAGAGGCAGGCAGGAAGTGATCCAGGGTAGGGCCTATGACCCGTGGGTCGACGAGTTTCAGGCGGCATCCCTGTTGACCAAAAGGAAGAGAGAGCAAACAGTCTCACCTTCCTTAGGGCCCTGGGTTGGGACCCGGAGGAGTGGGTGGGCTCAGGGCCCCCTACCTACCGCCCCGCAGGGCAGGGTGGGACACGGTAAGTGGCGACAATTGTATTAGCCCACGCACTAGCAACTACGTTAAAAACGTTAATTCCTCCTCAAGGGAGCAGCTGGACTAAATTGGGAGGCCGGCAGACACAGGGCAGGCAATAGGACCCAGAGCATGGCCCCGCGGACGGTGTGTCCCATTGGGCACGGGACACCCACTGTCACAGGGCACAGGTGGACTTCGTTCTTGAAGCAAGTGGTTCTGATTTTAGAGACCCTTCTAGTTGAGGTAACGGCTACCAGAAAGGTGACCTTCAAGGAGAGAAAAAGCAGAGAGCACAAAGCTAGTGGCTCAAAAGGAGGGCTTGTGAGTTTTGACAGTATGGAATTTGGGTGATCATCCTGTGAGAGAAAAATGACTTACAGTTCGCTGACAGGTAGAAGGCTAAAACTGCCACTCAATACACCTTGACAGATGTGAAGGCTAGACCTTGTTGTTTTAGGTGGAATAAGTAACCTACAACAGACTGAAAGGAAGACTGAATTGAAGAGAGCCTCTGTTGGATTGGCCATATTGAGAAACGGTTCCACTTAGCGAGATATATAGCCCTAGTGGAGGAGTTCCTTTCAAACGTATTCCAAACAGATTTATTCCACCCAGGTCAGCCATGTAACTTCCAAGCAGACAGGTAAAGGGACCCTAGGTTTGGGTGGAGTAAATGGCCATGGTCTTGTGAGATCACGTCCAGGCAGAGTAGGAGCTGTAGTGGGGGTGCTACTGATAAGTCTTGCAGTGTGCCAAACCAGTGTTGAGGCTGCCAGACTCAGTCTATCAGAATAATTGTCACCTTTTCTCACCTGATTTTCAGAAGAGCCCTGTGAACCACAGGAACTGCGGGAAATGCTTGGAATAGTAGCTCTGTCTGGGAGCCCAGGCTGTGCCCATGTAGGAAGCAAAACTGATCTCATTTCTAGTAGGGATGTTAGATAGCATGTAATTGAATAGTCATTGGCCAACTTCTTTTACATGGATGAAGTAATATCTTTTACTGAATTAACTTCTGAAATTGGTCCAATAGAAAATAATATCTCCGCCATCTTGTCTCACTAATAGTCAAATTAAGATAAATAACCAGCCTATGGAAGAGAATCACTGTAGTGTTAACAAAATCAAGTAGCTAAATGGTGCTAGAAATGAAGGTATTGCATTTCTCAGTAAGTTTATGAAAGATGATAGGAGGAAAGAAGACATCAGTATTTCCGAGTACATTTGCAACTACTGTACTATAAAAGGGTATTACTCAAAAATACATTATAGAAAAATACTAGAGAAAAGTTTATGTTAAATAGCTTGGAAAGGAATAAGCATATATTGCATAAATAATGTGCATAAATTCTAGCCCAATACAGCAGAAGACAGCACTAAAGTAGTATCTTTCAGGCCAAATTATACTCCTAAGTTAAGTCAAAGTGGATAAAACGAAAAAGCATATTAAAAATTAGAGAAACATTTTAAAACTAAGGGAAATGAACAAACATCTGCATATTCACATAACGTTCATCACAATTAACTGTACCTTTGTAGGGTAAAACACAAGAGTGGAGGGAATATGTCTAATTTCAGAGTAATTTAATTGTTTACATTTTACTCTCCATTTAACAGGAACAAAGTCTAAACTGAAAAATAGAGAAGATTTTGAAAGTCTGCTTTAAAGCATTATAAGTAGCCCAAATAATGCTTTTTAAAGCTACGAATTTTATCTTGAAACCATCCCATTAAGGAATATGGTCCATTATGCAGTACATTTTAACATTTGGGCAATGAAAAAATACAGTATTTTAAATACTAGCATTAGAAGTCCCAATTAGTTCAATCATGTCATGTCATTATATAAAAATAAGTTGAAAACCACTAGGGGGTGCTGTTGGAGCAATTATATATAGTAATGAGTATGTGGGACTATGCATATTGTTGCCTCTTCTGTAATAATTTCATTGATACCAGTGGTTCTCAAACTTTAGGTTGGGACCCAAAGTGGGTAGCAACTTCATTTGAATAGTGTTGCCAGAGTTGCCTCAGACTTCCTGAGGCCAAAGCCAAAGTCTGAGCCCCACCACCCACCCGGACCAAAGCTGAAGCTTGAACCCCACTGTTCAGTGCTGAAGCCAAAGCTCAAGAGCTGCTTTAGCCTTGGGTGGTGGGGCTCAGATTACAGGACTGCTATCTGGGGCTTTGGCTTTGGGAACCCCACTAACAGGATGGTAGGAGTTTGGGCTTTGGCCCTACCATCTGAAGCAGCTAGGCTCAGGCTTCAGTCCTCCCCCCACCCAAGGTCATGTAATATTTTTTCTTGTCATAAGGATGTTGCAAGTACAGTGAAGTTTGAGAAACCCGAATTTATACCAACGTGCCAGTTTATAAACTGCTCCTAGATTAGTAATGTTGTAATTAGGAGCTCTCACGATCCATTCAAATGTGTGGCTAAGAATGTGAGCACAAAGAAATTAATTCACACAAACAACAAAAGGGGAAGTTTCTTTCCACTTAAAATTAGATAGCAAAGAATATTCTGCCAATCAAGAAGCTAAATTAACTGAACGTCCCTTCGGGCCTTACATCCCTGAGTAATTGACAATAAAATGAAAACCTGAACAGTCTCTTTGTGGTAGATAAAATATGTCAACTGCATACTTACTTCATCCATTTTCATACAAGTGCCAAAATCGGCCAGCTTTACATGCCCATATTTATCCAAAAGCATATTGTCAGGCTTCACATCTCTGTGTATCAAGCCCATGGAGTGAATTGCATCCAGAGCGAGGACAACTTCAGCTGTGTAAAATTTGGCCCATTTTTCAGGCACATCATAGTTGCTCATAAGGTTTACAAGATCTCCACCCGGCATGTATTCCATTACCATGTACAAGTATCGGTCATCTTGAAAGGCACAAAAAAGCTAGAAAAGAAAAGAAGGAAAATTACTCCTGAGAGATATCTGGAAAAGCAATTTTTCTATTCTGATGGGCGATTTAATGGAACTCTGTTCTTAGAACAGTGTTTCTCAAATGCTGCCAACAGGGGCTCTTCTTGCAGCCACAACCTAGGGGCTGGAACCTGCCCTTTCTGGAAATACCTGGAGCACAACACTGGAGGAACATGCAGCTGGTGAGTTCCAGACCTTCCCAGGTGTGGCTGGGGCTCAGGCTTTGGGCTTCGACTCTGGGGGTGAAGTGGTAGACACTGGCCACAGGGGCTTTAGGCTTCAGCTGCACAACTATGTTCTGGCACTAGGTCCCATTTCCTGGGCATTGGGCTTCAGGATTTGGCCACAGGACCTCAGGCCCCAGCCCCCTCATCCTACACTGCCTCTCCTGACTGCCATCCAGGACTTTATTTGTCACCAGACTTCCTAGGGCTGAGTAAGTCTGCTGTGAAAAGTTGTATTAATACAACATACATGTTTCACATTTCACAATAGATTTACTAGCTAGAAATACTAAATTACAATGATATGGACATGTATATACGCACATTTTTCCCTAAAGCTAATCAAGCTTTTTAGAAAAAATATGAGAGCTGCCACCAGCAAAAGCTGGTGGCTACACTGTAAAGCCACCAAAAATTTGTCCTGAAAACCCCACATATAATGAGAGCTTTTTAAAGTGGTTACAAGGCAATTTTTAAAAAAATTTCTAATAAAGATTTTGGTTAATTTAACAGTAACCTAACATCTGCTAAACTTCAAAACTTCTTTATCTCAATCTTAAAAAAAAACTACTACTTTCTTATTTATTCTATTTATTAAGTGCTTCTCATTCTGTTTCTCAGAATGAAGTCCAGCATAACGAGGTATCACTGAAAATTCAGCTCCCTTTGAGACACAAGCACAATTCAGAGTAGTGGATATAGCTAAACAGAGACTGGTATCTCTAAAATTGCTATGAAATTTCTTTTCTGTATTATAATACAGCTTCTAAATATCACCACCAAGCAAGAGTAGAAATGATAAATGCTGGCTAGCGTGTATCTAAAGTGGAGATGCAAGAAGTGATTATCTTTACTAATAAATACAGCTTGGTATATATTACAGTTAGATTATTGAAGCATTGAAAGTAAGTATTTATTTACAAATTTCTTTAGAAGCAGTGATTCCCAACCTTTTTCCCCATGGAGGAACCCCTAAAATAATTTTTCATATCCCGAGGAACCCCTACCTATGAAAACATTTGCTTGGCCAGAAAAAGTTGACAGAGGGGACGCAATTCAATTACTGCTAAATTATTGTCAAGAAAATGTATTTGTAAAGAACTGTTTTATATGTACACACACACACACACACACACACACACACACAGTAAGAAAAATTTTATTTATTTATTCCACGATTTCTCGTGGAACCCTTGATAATGGTCTGCGGAACCCCAAGGTTCCATGGAACCCTGGTTGGGAAACACTGCTTTAGTTGGTTTCACTGAATACACTCTGGGACTTCCACCTCTAGGTCCCATCAGTCTCAAAAGGGCCCAGCAAAGACCAGGCCATTACAGTAAAACTCCGATGGTCCGGCATCTGATGGTCCGGCACTCCTACTGGTCCGGCACCATCAGGAACCCGGAAGTGCTGCGGGCAGCCAGACCACTGAAGCTGCTCTGCCCCCAGCTTCCCCCATTCAGCCACTGCTAAAACTGACCAGCAGCTGAATCTGGGAAGCCAGGGGCAGAGCAGCTGGAGTGCTGCTGGATAGGTCCCTTCACGCGTGCCCACGGG